TTCTTTCAATTCCAGCCCATGCAAAGCTCATGTCCACTGCCATATTCCAACCCATGTACGACTCATGGATTTCTTTTATTGGCAGCCATTTTTTACCACCTCCCTTGTACATTTTGTGGCTGTGATTTGTTGCTTCATTGCAACGGGTTTGACTTCCAACGAGTCCCCTCAAACCCGACTTTGCATGCCAAGCTTTCCTTTGAGTCCGTGGAATATTTCGGTCTTCAAAGGCTTTGTAAAAATATCTGCAAGTTGATCTTCTATTCCGCAATGAATTAGTTCCACCACTTTGTTCTTCACTTGCTCTCGAATAAAATGATATTTTGTGTCTATATGTTTACTTCGGCTATGTGACACTTGGATTCTTCGCAAGTGATATAGTAGATTTATTATCAATGTATATTGTAGTTGGACCTTCTTGTTCATGATATAACTCGTTCAAAGTATTCTTCAACCATATTGCTTGACATGTACATGCTACTGCGGCTATATACTCTGCTTCACATGTTGAGAGAGCAATTGTTTGTTGCTTCTTTGATGACCATGAAAATATTGCCGATCCAATATGAAATGCATATCCGGAAGTACTTTTTCGATCATCCAAGTCTCCACCATAATCGCTATCCGAATAACCAACTAACTTTGAATCTTGAGAAAATGTATAAAATAAACCATGATCCGTTGTTTCTTTAACATATCTCAAAATTCTCTTTGCTCGCAATAAAGTGATCCTACTTTGGCTTCTCCATATATCTATAGACTAGTCCAACTGCATACATAATATCCGGGCGTGTGAAAGTCAAGTACCTCAAACTTCCAACCGGACTCTTGAACGGTGTCGGGTTTAAAGACTCTTTGTTCGAATCTATCCTCAACTTCATACTTGCTTCGATGGTGTAGCTACCGGCTTGCAATCCTTCATTCCGAACTTGTTTAGAATTTGTTCGCATACTTCTTTTGTGACATAAATATTCCATCTTTCATTTGTTTTATCTCGATTCCAAAAAAGTATGACATTTCACCAATATCTCGTCATTTCAAATTCTTTAGTCATAGCTTTCTTAAAATCATTGAACATACCCGGATTATTTTCCGTGAAGATCATATCATCCACATATAGGCACACGATCATAATATCACCATCTTGATTTCTCTTCGTGTACAAGGCATGCTCATATGGACTTTTTACAAAACCATTCTTCCGGAAAGACTCATCTATTCTTGTGTTCCATGCTCGTGGAGCTTGCTTTAATCCATATAAGGCTTTCTTCGGTCGGTAGACTTTGTCTTCCCGTCCCTTTTTAACATATCCTGCTGGTTGCTCGATATAAACTTCTTCTTCTAGGAACCCATTCAAGAATGCAGATTTCACATCCATCCGATAAATCTTCCATTTATTTTGTGCTTGCGACTCGCTGTGAGAAGTCTAATAGTATCAATTCTTGCAACTGGAGCAAACACCTCCTCATAGTATATTCCTTGTATTTGTTTATAGCCTTTAGCAACTAATCTTGCCTTATATTTTTCCACTTTTCCTTCGGATTCGTCTTTATCTTGTACACCCACTTGACTCCTATTGCCTTGTGCCCTTTTGGAAGACTAGTTAATTCCCATGTGTCATTTCTTTTGATTGCAGCAATTTCTTCATTCATGGCCTTCTTCCACTTCTCCTCTTTAGCGACCTCTTCGTACATTATTGGATCACACTCGTCGTTAAACGGAATAAAGAGTAATCGAATATTGTCCGTACGGGTTCCGTGGAATCATAAATATCATTTAGACTCCGTAGGTTTTCGAGTGCTCCCCCGAATTGTTGCTACTGCTGTCGCTTCTCGACGATGTTGATGGTATCGATTCGGGTGTTGTTGAAGTTGGACTTTATGGAGGAGTTTGGTCATCACCTTGCTCATTTTGTATGTTGAAATCATCATCATTGTCATCATTAACAAATAGTCCTTTAACTTCTTTATCTTCTTTGCTCCATCTCCGAGTATCTGCTTCATCAAACTCAACATCTCGTGAGATGATCACCTTCTTGGTCAAAGGATTGTACAATCTATATGCCTTACTCCGTTTCTCATAGCCAATAAAGATGCATTTCTCTCCTTCATCATCTAACTTCTTTCTTTTCGGTCGGGAACATGGGCATATGCAATGCATCCAAAAATCCCGAGATGTCCAACTGCAGAGCTTGCTACCGCTCCATGCTTCGTTAGGCGTTTTAAATTTTATACTTTTTGTTGGACATCGATTAAGTAAATAAACAAGCACATAGAACGGCTTCGGCCCAAAAATTTCTCGGTAAGTGCTTTCCTTTCACCATGCTCCTTGCCATATCAAGAATTATGCAATTCTTTCTTTTTGCAACACCATTTTGTTGTGGTGTATATAAGGTCGTTAGTTGATGAGTGATTCCATTTTCTTTGCGAAACCTTCAAACAACTTTGAGGTGTACTCGCCTCCTCTATTAGATCTAAGTATCTTCAAATATCGCCCACTTTGTTTTTTTGCCATTTCTTTGAACTCTTTAAATTTATCAAGGGCTTCGATTTATCTTTAAGAATATACACCTAACTTTTTCTACCGAAATCATCGATAAAAGTAAGATAATACTCGTTTCCACCAAGTGATGGTATATCAAATGGACCAACTATATCCGTGTGAACAATCTCCAAAGGCCTTCTAGCTCTCCATGATTTTCCAACTTCAAAACTTTGTCTATGTTGTTTTCCTTTAATGCAAGCTTCACATAATTGATCCGGCTGATTAATTTACGGAAGTCCACTCACCATCTTTGCTCTCGATAATAACTTCAAGCCGGTAAATCCAAGATGACCAAACCTTAGATGCCATAACCATGATTCGTCTTTAATGACGGACTTCATGCACTTTAGCACTTCGTATGAATATCAAGTGTGAAAAGACGATTCTTTGTCATATTAACTTTAACAATTAACTCTCCACTTCGTTGATGACGAGAGATCGATCCTTCGAGTGTATATCATACCCCTTTTCTAAGAGTCGGCCAAGGTCGATGATATTGCTTTTCAAAACAGGTACATAATAAACATCATGTATATACCTTTTTTCTCCATTTTTTAAGATAATCATAAGCTTACCTTTGCCTTTAACTCGGAATTTTTGATGAGTCACCAAAAGTAACTTCTCCTTGGATAGTATCATCCAAATCAGTAAACAACTCCTTACAACCACACATATGGTTCGTTGCACCGGTGTCGAGATACCAAACATTTTTCTTGCACTCTCCATTTCCTCTATATGTTAAGAAAATGGCCGATTCAGACTTCTTTGTCTTCTGTCTGCAGCAAAATGATTTGTTTCCTCTATCCTTGGTGCTAATCTGCATTCGTAACTAAGATGGCCATACTTGTTACAATTATAACATTGCAATTGTGATTTATCGCCTCGTTGTTGAAATCGCCTCTTCCTTGACTCCTAGATCCTCGACCACGATCATATATTTGATAGCCTTCATTTCCTTGGCTTCTTTCGAAGGAGTTTGTGCTACGTCCTCGTCCACCACGTACACCTCCGTAACCACCTCTATAGTTACCTCTCGTAGCCATCTTTGTAGCCACCTCCGTAAGTACCTTGATTTCCTCGACCTCGTCCATAACTTCTGCTGGCTTAATTGTCACCAATATATAACTTGCTTTGCAAAGCTTGCTCCAGATTACCGGTATTTTCATTCCGGTTCATTCTCCGCTCATGAGCTTGAAGAGAACCCACAAGCTCGTCAATCGAGATTTGTGACAAATCTTTTGATTCTTCAATAGCGATAACGACATAATCAAATTTTCTTATCAACGACCGTAAGAGTTTTTCCATCACTCGACATCATCAAGAGTTTCTCCATTTCTTTTCATATCGTTTGCCACCGTTTTCGGACGAGTGACGTAATCATTGATCTTTTCGAATTCTGCATTTTTAAGGTCTCAAATTCAGCTACGAGTGATTGGAGTCGTACCTTTTTAGCCTTTTTGACTCCTTGAAGAGATTTCGCAGAATCTCCCATGCCTCTTTTGACGTCTTTGCGTCGATACTTTCTCAAACGTTGATTCAGCAACTCCTTGGAAAATGAAAAACAAGGCCTTCTTATCCTTTTTGCGTGATTCTTTAAGTGTTGTCTTACGTGCGTTTGTTAAAGATGCTTCGGCAATAGCATCTTCGGGCTCGTATATCCTTCTTCAACAATCTCCCATAGATCGTGTGAGCCGAAGCAGAACCTTCATTTGGATGCTCTAGTTTCCATAATTTGAATTTGTTAATTTTGGGATTTGAGGCTGAATCATTTGGGGCATCATCTTGCTTGAAAGGAAGACACGAACCGAGCTCCGATACCACTTGTTAGAAGCGTGCTAGGCTTTAATTCAAATAAAAATATATTGATGATATAGTGATTACAAAAGAAATTTCTTCTCTCTCAAAAATATTCTCTCAATATATAGATGTTACAACACTCTTAATTTTTTTTCTCTTGATAGCTACTGCTATCTAAGTTTCTACTCTCTCTTTTTTCTTATAATCTCTCTACTGCTCATGCATGCATTAGAGCATATGTGACCTCTATATATATATATATATATAAAAAGCTTCACCGCCCAATTTAAGTCGGCAGCCACAATTCTTCTCCAATTTTGCTTTCAATTCCAGCCCATGCAAAGCTCACGTCCAGCTGCCATATTCCAACCCATGTACAGCTCACGGATTTCTTTTATTGGCAGTCATTTTTGACCACCTCCCTTGTACATTTTGTGGCTGTGATTTGTTGCTTCATTGCAACGGGTTTGACTTCCAACAGTAACAGATGGTGCTTGAATTAGTGTTTGCTAATTGCCGCTGTTTCTTATTTATGTCGTAAGATTTGTAAAATGTTCTTATTCTGCGTAGTAGGTACATAGACTCCTAACTCAGTTCCTTTGATAAAATGAAAAATTCTCGATCATTTATCGAGGAAAAACAAAACAGAGAGAGTAGGATTACGAGCAAGGTGGCATGTACACCGGAGGACGGAACATGCTTGTTGCCCTTGTTGAGCCATTCTTCACAATGAGAACTGTGGCCATACCCCAGCTTGAATGTCTTTCCAAGTGACAATGAAGGAACCATACCCCTGAAAATTTCATGTAAACTTAATCAGTGTCCTTAACAAAGCATAGAAGAGGACAATTTGCCTTTGGAATATTGTATTTATCTCCAATGTTGAATTATATGTGGATCATTGGAGGACTTAATATAAAATAAGAAAACTCAACTAGAGGACTTAATTACCAGGATTATCAGCGATAAATCTAATGGCAATCCATCCACTCTTAGGAAGTGCAACGGTGTTGATTTCAGGTGGATCGATCAGATTATAAGACTTGGGATCAATCTCATTGTTGAAATTTCCTTTACCTCTACCAACCAAGAAGAAACTATATCCATGTAGATGCAAAGGATGGTTCATTTCAACGGATAAATTAGTCCCTTGAAAGACAATCTCAACTGCTTCTCCATAATTCAACATCTTCACCTTTGTTCCTCTGGCTGTAGTTACATCAATGTCTGACACGTTTCCTGTGAAGTCGAAATACCTTGGTGGTTCACTTGGGAAATCTTTCTCGAAAACCCCTTTAATACTTTTGTAATAGGCTTGCAATATATCGATTGCCTTGACTTCAAAACTAACATTGTTCATGCTTGCAGCTATCCGAGTTGGTCCTGCACATGATGCCTCTGTACAAGGCAAGAGATTCAAAGAAACTGTGATATAAAGACATCGATCAATTTCTTTGGGGACGTTAATAGGATGGTCTTCGCTAGCTAGACTCCTGATAAGACTATTGTAGCTTGCTGCAGCACTACTATCGTTGGCTCCTGGTAGGGTTGGGAGTGGAATAGATAAAGGGGGAGTATAGTTGCCATTGTATTGCACAATAGCTGTAGTTGTGGTGTTGTCAAATGGAACATTAGCACCATCAGCAAAAAGCGTAGAAGCAATGTAATAATAGCTCGGAGCCTGATCAGCTGTGACTAAAACATCCATCGTTTGTCCCGGGGTAATCACCATATATTCTGTGGGTATAGGTTTTATGTATGCCCCATCCTGTCCAACAACGATGAGGCTGTGGCCAGCAATTCCAAAGAATTGTTCTTCATTCATCACGGCATTGATTATTCGGAGAAGGTAAGTCTTGCCGTAATCAACCCGTAAACGATATGTGTTTTCTGCAGAAAACTTATTGTTCATTACTATGCTTGAGATGATATTTGAGGTTTCTTTTCATTTATCTAGCAACCTCAATGGTGTATTGATGTGCAAATTAATCAGATAGTAGCAAGGCTTACCTTTGGAGCATGGATATAGATCTCCCGGTTGGCCATTGATGGTAAAACTGTTGGATACGTTAGGAACTATACCTGTCGCAAGAGCTTCATCAATTACCGCCTTTACATCTCCCTTATACCATGATCCTGCAAACAAATTTTATGAAGTTAATTAAGAATGTGAACTTTCACAAACTCTAATCCACTGCTTATGGAAAATCGGAACAAATTAATTAATCCCAATACATTAATTACACTACATGATGGAAATCGTTGCTCACCAATCACAATTGTTTCTTCTGCATCAGGCGCAGGAAATGGATACGTGGTTCCAAGAGCAGGCAAAATGACAATAGCGCCATGTACCGTGGCTCGACTCCAGTCACTATGTGCGTGCCACCATAGAGTTCCCTCTTCAGTAGATAATATGAGCTCGTATGTGAAGTTTTTTCCTGGCTGAATTGGGCACTGCGTGATGTTTTCTGGACCGTCAAACCATGGATTTCCTGGCTGTTTCACTCCATGCCTATATTAGATTCAAGCAAATGTTAGGTATGATGCATTCATGCAGACTACGCATGCCCTACAATGAAAATATGTATTCTTAGCTAACGTATTATTGTTTTCATGTATATATACATGTAAGAGATATGGTACTGAAAGAGATTAACTACCAATGGATTGTGACCCCATAATTTCCTTGATTGAGCACATCGACAAAAATTCTATCTCCTCTACGAGCGCTTATTGTTGGCCCTGGAAAACATCCATTTACAGTGAGCATAGTCTTTGTGCTGCATAATCTTGTAAACTCTGTATCTTCTAGCTGCAATAAGAGAAAAGATTACAGAAGGAATGGAAAGGGATTGATACATTTTCATTTTGACATTATTTGTTAGAGATAAATATATAATGAAGAAAAACAAGAAAGGTTGCATTTATGTGAAACATTGGAGGTACTCTGTTAATGTATTGTATAATCTATGCTTTACTTTTGTACTCAAGAAAATCGGTTATTATATTATACCGGAAGAAAAAAGAAAAAAATGAATATATATAGAAGTGTAAGTTTGAAGTAAATTTATGCTTACAACAAAACGATAGTAACGCTCGCTTTTAGCCATGCAAGGGACGAGCCCATCCAGGAATATAAACATTAAAAGCCCTATGATTAAACCCGCTTTGTTTAACCTCATTTCCTAGCACTGCTTTTGTAACAAAGAGTTCTGCAAATTCTGTATCTCAGTGATTGTTCCTTTGGTCGTTCTTGCTTGGTGGTGATGATCTTAGCATGTACCCTTGGCTATTTAAAGAAAGCCTTAGTGCTCTAAGATCCATTTGTAGGTTTGGATTTCATTAACATATTCGGCAACCATATTCAAGTACAATGAGATGGAGTTATTTTATTTCGCTCTTTAATGTACAAAGGATGGAGATGGGATTTTATAAAATACGAGTATTTTACTAAGAATCTTTCCAAGAAACCGAGTCTTGGTTTCTTTGTCTTGTAAACAAACTATTTTGACAGTCTCCAAAACTCTTCCGATTTGTCTTTATATGATTTATATTTGCTGGATTTCTCCAGCTTTGTTTTGTTTGATCAACCTTCATATTTGTTTGCTGGCTCTAGAATCTCTAGTTTTTGCCGATGAGCTTGTGGACTGATTCGTCATTATGTAGGAATTGGGGCAGGCCTATTCCACTTTAGTTTTGGAGTGTTGTTGGACTTCTTTGTAGACTACGGGATTAATCTTCCCCAAAATAGCTTCTTTCTTTGCTTGAGAGTTTCTGTTGGTCGTGTTTTCCTCGCCCACAGTTCAATGTTATCGTGTTAAAACCCAAAATTTGGGTTATACATTTGTTTTTAGTATTTTTTTTTCCTGCTACTTTTGTGTTCTATTTTAGTTTATAAGTTTATTCTTATGACTTCACATTTTTATTTCATACGGAAAAAAAAAGAAGAAAAAATCAATTTTGTTTGTTTAACCGATTTTTCAATCTTTAATTTCATCATTTTAATTTGTCTTTTTTTTTTATTTATTTATCCCATTTTATTTCATTTTTTATTAATTTATTTTATCCTTTTATTTAGTCGTATTTTCGATTTTTAATCTAAGGATGCAATGGAATGGAAGTTAAATCGCTACGGGAGAATAAGCAATTAGCGATGGATTTTAGTGATGGCAATTAATCCATCGCCATTTAGCTATTGAATAGCAACAAATTAGCGATGAAATCAAAAAAATACATCATTTAACGACGGATCAATGACGGTTTTGTGATGGACAATTAGCAATGGAAACGATTCCATCGTTATAGCAACGATGGAATTACGATGGATTAGTGAGAGAATTTAGCGACATAATACAAATTTCGTTATTAAAAGCATCATTGGCCAAGTGATGGAAGTTATCCATCATTAATCATCCTTAATTAGCAATGGATATTATTGTGCAAATCCTGGAATTTTTTTAATATGATTGGCGGTTGGTTGAAATTCAAATTAGTGATGAAAACGATTGTCCATTGCTAATTAACGATAAATCAGCAATGGAAACACGTTCGTCACTATTTGTGTAAATATCTGAATCTTTCTAAAGAATTTAGGTCTGTCATTTGAAATCCAAATTAGTGATGGACATAAGTGTCCCTCACTAATTAGCAATGGAAATAAGTGTACTGTCTTTAATTAGCGATGGAAACGTGTCCGTCGCTAATTCTAAACCCCTATCAAGTTACGAGATCCTTTCCCCTTTTCTCTTATCTCCCCCTTTCCCTCTCCTCTCGCTGCTGCCACCCCTACCGGATCAAACCACTACCCTACGCCACACCACTCCCTCCCTAGCCCACTCAATCTAGCAAGGTGCAAGTTTCTCCCCAAAATTCATCGGTAGTCTCTCCTCTCCCTCCTCTCCTTTGGTAATTTGTTTTCTCTCTAGATTTTTTTTTTTAATTAGATTAATGTGGCTAGTTACTAGATTAATTTTATTAATTATTAGTTTAATTTCGTTAATTGTTAGTTTAGTTTTGTTAATTATTAGTTTAATTTTCTTAATTGTTAGTGTTAGGTTAGATTTTAATTATGTAATTTTTGGGATAATTTAGAAAAAATGATTGATTAATTATTAAGTTATTTTTTATTAATTGGTAGGTTAAAATTTTGTTAATTAAGTGTTAATTTATTATTTTTTATTATTTTTGTTAGTTGTTGGGTTAATAGTGTTAATTTGTTTGTTGTTATTTTACAATTTAATTAACATTTCAAAGAAGATTGGGAGGGTTTAACAAGGAAGTGCTACGTCGACTACATCTTCAACCATGGTTCGTTGCTTGACCGACCTACTTTTATTAGGCGGGATGTCCGGGACTCGTGGCATCAAGATTTTGCTAGATCCGATAGCAAGGCTTGTTCGCAGTAGGCATCGCGAAACTAGATGTCGAAGATTGGTGGCTTCGATGTGAGTCCTTTCGAGCGTATAGAGGGTCCATCTATTCGGAAGAGCACATTTGTCGCTTGATAAATCATATCTAATATTATTAAATGTTAAAAAAATTAATTTGCATCACATATTATTTGTGATTCATTTTTTTTAGATGAAAAAATTGGGGCATGAGCCAATGAGTTTGGATTTGTTTGGGGCTACTCATAAGCGACAAGATGGCTCTTTCGTCGATCTCGCTCACCCGACATACTATGGTCGGTGTTTTTAATTTTAAAATTTTTTATATATAAAAATATAATCTAAAAAATTTGTAATCTTTTAACAATATAATTATTTTGATTATGTAGAAGCATGTTGACAAGCTCAAACGGGGAATGTATTGAGAAACAACGAGGTGGAAGGAATCCTAAAGCCATAGGTGGACCGGAATGCCATATACCTCAAGGTTATAAGGGAGAAGAAGAAGAGGTCGTTTGGTGTAGGTACACGGGAGTTGCATTATTTATCCTAGTCGGGTGGCACTAGTTCGTCGTTGCATTATACCGATAACATTTCGATAAGGAGGTTCGGAGGTAGTTCGAGGAGACGAAGGAGGTGATACAAGAGATGCGGGTCAAACAAGATGAGCTATAAAACCTTATCGAGCAACGATCATAGGTTGAATACTCGGTATAAATCACTTGCCTCAATGTTGACTAAATTGGTGTAGACATTCGAGTTGCTTGTAGATTCGTCCACCAATCGGGACTCCAACGCCCCTTCCATCGGGCCCCAAAAGGAGGAGCCCTAAGAAAGGAGAGGGGATTAGATGATCGGGAGTGACATTGCATTTTTTTATTTGTTTTTTTCTTTTCTTTCTTACGTGCTACCGAATCTTTTTTTGTTAATATTAATTTAATTTAATTTATAATATTTAAAATTTAATAATTCTTTGTTTGATTTAATTTTTAATTACTATTGAGAATATCATAATTTTTTTAAAAAAAAAAACCAAAAATTTATCAATCAAGAAAATAATAATTAAAAACCTTATCGACGATTAGCATAAAAAATTAGCGATGAAAATGGCAATGGAATAGTAACAACTATATTAGCTTTGGATATTAGCAATGGAATATTGATCACTAATTAACAACATAATTTGTGACAAACTAGTGATGCCTCAAATGATAGTTTCAACAACCAATTTAGCAATGGAATATATTGCTTTAGCGATAGATAATTTTCTACCATCGCTAGGGCTAGTAATAAGCATATTAATGATGAAATTTTTTCCATCGCTAAATGATTTTAATGAAAGAAAATTCCATCGCTTATAGTGAATGCAATTGGAAGCAATTAAGGACGTAATTGAAATAATTTAAAATACTATAACTAAATTGAAAGATACAAAGACTCAATTAAAAAGTTAAAAGCACCAAGGACTGCAATGACATGCTTAAATATTACAATTGAAAAAAATTAAAACCTACAAGGACTCAAATTGACAATAGATGTGAATTACAAAACCAATTTGAAATCACCCGAACAACCTATCATTCGAGTCCTCCCGACTTTTTCGTGGTACATCTGCTATGTATTATACCATCCTTTAGCATTGTTCATCTATATCAATGAAGACAACATGTCGGAGGGACAAACTAGCCAAGCTTGCACTTGCGGCTCCTCCACTCGTAACATTGGTGCACACAAAACACATACATAAAGCACATGTTTTGGCTCTATTCATATAGAACCGAAAATGACAACAAGCTGGAAAGGTTTATTTGTTATGGGGGAGTTTGGGTTTAAGGGAATTGATCTTAAGACTAAGGAGAGGAGACCATTGCGTATAAATAGGGCTTGAGTTAGGATTTCAAAGGGTAGGAGGAATTGAGAGAGAATTTAGAAGAAAGACAATGAGAGTAATTGTGGAAAGTTTTTTTTAGAGAAAAGGCTAAGGCCTTATTATTTCTCTATGCAAACAATAAGTTTGAAACCTTCTTTACTTTCGGGCATAAGAGGCATAGGGAATTTTAAGAGAGACTTAGAGAAAATACTCATGGTTTCTATTAGTTTTATGAAGAACAAATGTTTTTAGGTTTCGTGTGTGTGTGTGTGTGTGTGTGTGTGTGGGGGGGGGGAGTAAATGAATTCTTAAAAGATCATTATGTTATTGGTTTTTAGGTTTTTAAAAGAAAGGATTCTCATTAGTTGGAGTAGTAACCATCTACCGCCAATTGTTGCCTTCAAGCTAGGTTCCAACAATTGGACACCCATGTATGAATTTTTGTTTCCTTCATTTATTGGTAGCTTCAACTAGTGTCAATTGATCTAAAGCAACGAGCGATGATAGTGATTTCATCACCATCATCATACAAACCTCTTCATTGTTTCAACTTTACTTTATGTGTGTTTGAGTTTGTGAGATAAAGGAAAAAAAAGTCTAATGACTTAAGAAGGTTTAATTAGGGGTTAATCTGTTTGATTTTGGGTTTTGATATAGGATAAGGACTAGATATTTCTAATTTGAGAGAAAATCGAGGAGGGGGTTGTTGATGGTTTAGTTTGTTTGTGAATAGAAGAAGAATTGAAAGAAGAAGGGGCTAAGTTTTTTAGAGGAGATTGATGGAAATTTTTGGGTGAGGGGTTAAGGAAGAAGAAGAAGAACGTGAGGAAGAAAGGGTTAAGGCTAGTTTGAAAGTGTTTTGATCTTGTCATTTGTTTTGTTGGATTGTTGAAGAATAAAAAGACGAAGGGTTGGGCTTAACCTA